TTTTGGTACCGGGGATCGAACTCAGATCCTTGCACTTGCAAAGCAAGTGGCGGAACCGCAGAGCTAAATCCCTGGCCAGAGCTTTTTCTTAATTATAGTGCTAAAATGATTTCTGAAGAAATGTCTCCTAACTCAACTAGAAGGCTAAAAATACAGGAATGAAAGAATAAGCAGAGTACTCGTGATGCCTTTGAAAAAAATCAAAAAATCATGTAGGGTGACCTTGTTTCCAAACCAGTACGCAGTATTGTAATATTGAAGGAAAACTGTCCCAGTCATTTAAAGGTACTTGTTAAGTACTGCTTTTTACAGTTGTGACAACTGTTTCTTTCTATGCATATAAATCAAGCAACCAAATATCTGTAGCCATGGAAATGTCTGACTAGAAATATTTATATTGAATTCTGAATACAAAATGTCCCTGTGGTAGAAATCTTACTTCTTATGCCTGGTGCAGTATAATTCCCAAGTGTACTGTCTACCAGGAAAAGAAAAACACAATAAAAAATGAAATATGAAAATTAGGCTTGTATTTGTTGGCTGTTATTACTTACAGGAGAAAATCGTACTTCTCATGTAAAGTGCACACTGATTCTATCCCTGCATGTGCTGCCCTTCGCTCCTTTGTGTTTGATCTGCGAGGACTCAGTGGAACCTTACTCACTTCATAAGCAGGGATGGGTCAAATTTTGTCTAAAAGGCTGCATAGTTGAATGATGAACATAAAGTTTGAAAAAATTTTTTCAAACAGGACTTAAATTGTCACAGCTCTGAATATGACTCTTATTTTAGCTTTGTGCTAGGCACAAGGACAGAATAGCTCCAGCCATTTCATTCTCATATATTGTGGTGACCCACAAATGTATGTTACTATCAGAGTTAAGTTTATTTCTGAAGAGAACAAATGAACTGTTGTGAAGGAAGAATCTGGAACAGTGGGTGAGATGTGTGTACTTTTATTTATTTCACTGTAGTCTTAGTTTACATAGTTCATTTTCTGTTTCTTGAAAGTTACAGGAAGGATCATGTTAATTATAGTGAGAATTTCCAGTTTCTTAGAATACCTTATATAAAAAGGAACAGGGAAGAGTGGGTCTCTGGCTGGGTGCCCTGGGGCAGGCAGGTCCCACTGCTATCCTTCTCTCTGGGAATATTCCAAGACACTCTCTGTGCAAGATGAGAATGTTTATTATGTCTACTTTTGCCGATGTCTCTGATTTGACACTTTGCCCACATATAGAAATCCATAAGTACCCCACTGTCACCATCTTCAAACCAAGATCCCTTACTATTATTGACAAGTTGCTGTGGTTTCAATAAATCAATGTAAAGGGCCAGGATTTAGCTCAGTGGCACGCACCTGCCTCGAAAACACAAGGTCCTGAGTTTGATCCCCAGTACCGCAAAAAAAAAAGGAAGAAAACTAAATCATTATGCATATTAGTATTAGATTATCATTGAGAAAACTGGGTCCTCTTTCTAATTGATGGATGGTTACCCAAACAAAACAAATGACAACAAAGCCCCATCAATAACAACTTCTCAATAACCACAGAAGTGTTGACTGGTTGAGATCAAGATAAAGTAAAACTATTGTGAGTTGAAAACAGTTGTGGAAATAGGAGTCCTTCTAGTTGTTCCAAGTTTATGGAAATTAAGTTTATGGCACTTATGAGTTCTCTTCCTTATGGATCTCATTGGAGATAAGTTTGTTTTTGATAAATATTCTCAGATACACTATTAATAACTAAAGGTTTTGTTTTGAGCAAGAAAAGAAGGCAACTGAATTATTTTTGTAGTTTATCAGGTGACATTTAATTTTCTGTGTTTTATCTATTTGGGTAATTGGAAACGATAGGAGAAATGTGGCTTGATTATATTTGGTTTTGAGACAGGTTATTATTCAGTTGCTCAGGCTGGCCTTGAATTTTTTTTGTTTTTTGGTGCCGGGAATCGAACTTGGGACCTTGTGCTTGCAAGGCAGGCAGCTGAACCACTGAGCTAAATCCTGGCCCCATATTTGGGTAATTTGATACAATTATGATTCTTTCAATGAAAGTTTAAATAATTTTCACCATGGAAGACTTGGTTTTTAAAAGAATTGATACACAGTTGCATTCTTAGCCTCTCCATTTATGTAGCTCATCCCAAGTAGGGCACTTTTGGAGATCAGAGCGTGCCCTTTCAGCGGAGGGTAACTGGGCTGGCTCAGGCAGAGCAGTGGGGAGCAGTGTAACCAACACCCGTGTACATTGCTACCCACCAAATTCAAGAATGACTTCACTCTTCCCTTTCCTGCTATGCTTTATTTCGAACTCAATCACAGGTACTGTTTCACAGATAATCAGACAGTGTCTAAAAGGTGACCTAAAATTACATATATAATTTGGAATAGTAATTTTATATGACATTGTGGTGCTGCTTGATCCTGGAATAATGTTGGTTATTTCATAGTTTAGATCCTTGACTTTGTAGTAGTGGTTGGATGTATTTCTTATAGGCAGGGTTCTCCTGTTTGTTAGAAAGAAGTATGTTATTAAAACAATATGTCTGCGAGGGTGAAAGACTTTTACTTTAAAACTGTTTAGCTTTAAAAAAGTAACATTACATAAGATCCTTAATTTCTCAAATTATTTTTTAAATTCATTTTGTGTGAACATATGGAGAAAAATTTTTCCAAAGGGCATCTTTCTTTTCTCATGCAAATTTTAAATTGTGGATGCAGGTGGCTGATTAAAAAGAAAACATACAGCTTATCTTTGCTTATGGAATTTTAATACAAATAGAAGAAGGTTTGGCTCTCCGAGGGTCTTTGAAATTGGATGTGAACCGCAGAGCAAGGAAGTGGACGGAAAGCGGCATGGAGCAGGCAGGATGCTAATGTCAATCTGACGTGGTATCTGGATTCCTTCCTACAGAACCCTGCTTTGTTGAGGCAGGGTTTCACTCTAGTCCAGGCTAACCTCTGACCTGAAGGGACCCTTCTGCATCAGCCTCCCGACTGCTAGGACCACAGGTGTGTGCCACCCCGCCTGGCGACATGACCTACAGTTCGTCTCCCACTGCATCTTGAGCACCAACAACAGTTTCTGTCAACATTGCGCATACTTAGCATGTATTTGCTGAGTGACTGAATGAATCAGTAGATGTGTTTAACACATCAAACTACTGCTTAGGTGAGTATTTACAATCGAATGTTGGGAAAAATGGGGGTCTCGATTTAAGATGGCCACCACTGGTTCTTTCACTTCATGCAATAGGGAGTTACACAGGCACGAGTTTGTGTAACCAGGGAAATGGCTTTTGCAATTTTCTCCGGAGATGCTTGCTTGCCCTATCATCTGAATCACGCAGAAAGCCCAGAGGCACACAGTGTGCTAGAGTAAGCCTAGAAAGGGCACATTTTTCCGTCCAGCGATACAGCTCTGTACGGCCTGCCCCAGACAGGAGACTCATACTTCTGACATTCAGTTCAGCACAGCGCTCGCTTTCGGTAGGAAACAGCGGGGGTATGCAGGTCTTCCCATTTGTTCTTTTCTCTCCACAGAGCACGATTCTGCACAGCTGCTGCTTTATTTAAAATACATAGAATGTATGTATCGTGCTGTGCAAATGAAAAATACCTCTTTATTGGAGTTTCAAAATTGTCTCCAGGAGATTAGATAAGTACACATTAAACGTGCTGGTGATCTCTGAAGGAGCCAGAAATGTGACGTAAGCTCCAACAGCCATAATGAGCAATCCACGGAGGGTCGGTCTGACTCACTGGAAACAAGGTAATTCATGATCTTTACATTACTAAATTGCTGTTTATGAGACCGCCACAGTGTACCTGTCACCTTTTTAGCAAACTAATGTGAGGCTGGAGGACAGAATCTCACTGCGTTTGTATAAGTGGGTGCCTTAGTGTTTCTGTATTCCGTAAGCCGAGCCCACTCTGGTGGACCCTGGGAGGGGGCAGTGAGGGTGCCATTCTGGTTTACAGTTAGAAGGAGACAGAGAAGGGTGAATGGGGTGGGGTTAGGGATCCCTTGAGGCTGTGAGTCAAGGAGATAAGCCTGCTCTCATAGGTCTGGATTAAGGTCTAAAGGGAAGCTGAGAAACCAGAGCTCCCTGCACTCTTCAGTGACCACAAGATCTAGAGCACTGGAATGCTTCCCGAGCGGCCAGTTAAACAGGTCTGAGTTGTGCATGTCAGCATTTCCCGATAGGAGCGCGGGGGGGGGGCAGGTTTTTTGGAGCACCAAAGGGCGTACACATATTTTAGATCCCAGGCATCAGGCTGCAGTGGGAAGGCTACGCTATTTTTTATGCCAGCATTTAAATGTTAAAAAGAGATTTAAAAAAAAAAAAGGAGAGAGATCACGTCATTAGAAAAAGTAATACACTTGGGGCAGGGATTTAGCTCGGTGGTGCCTGTGCCTGCCCCAAAAGTGCAAGGTCCTGAGTTCTATCCCCGGTACAGGGAAAAAAAAAAAAAAGAAACAGGGCCAGGGATTTAGCTCAGTGGTTCCACTGTCTGCTTCACAAGCTCAACGACCCAAGTTTGATCCCTGCTACCAAAAGAAACAAAAAGTAACACACTAGAAATAGGCTAGTTGCTGGGTGTGGTGGCATACGCCTGTAATCAACTCCAGCACTTGTGAGCTGGAGGCCAACCTGGGCCACATTGTGAGTTCAAAGCCAGCCTGAACTACATACCAAGACTTGAAAAACTAAGGAAAACAAACAAAACAAAATAAAATAAAAAATAGGCTAGTAAATAGTTAAGTAGTAAATGTATGCTTTTTTTGGGGTACTGAAGATGGAACTCAGGACCTTGCAGCTACCAGGCAGGTGTTGGCACCACTGAGCTAGATCCCCGGCCCTGTTTGTTTTTTGAGACAGAGTCACACTATGTAGTTCAGGCTGGTTATGAACTCACAATGTGGGTGGCCCAGGTTGGCCTTGAACTTGTGATAATCTTCCTGCTCCAGCCTCCCGAGTTCTGGGATTACAGGTGTGTGACACCCTGCCTGGCCCTAGATGTATGCCTTCTTTAGGTTAGTTGGTTGTATCTTCTTGTTGAGTTAAAAGATGTGTTCTTGCGGATGGGGACTGGCCTTCTGTCTGACAACCATCCTGGGGGTAACTTTAGATAATCAGGTTAAATTAAGCCACGAGCTATCACAGAATACAAATTGTTAAAGCAAGTCTGACACTGGTAAGTGTGAACGAAAGTCTGAGAGTTGCCAATTTGATGAGCTGTTAAGACACCTTTTCTGAAATTAGACTGAAGAAATAGAAAAGTCAGTTTCACCTTTCATTATAAAATACCCCAGCACTGCAAAAGAAAAGAAAAGAAAAGAAAAGGTCCGCTCTACAGCTATAAACCTGTTGTTCTGATCATCTGTTTCAAATCTGCTATTAAATACTGGTTCCCCAAATTCTAAATACAATATTTGTTTTTTCAGTTATTTATCTATTGACATTTGTAACTTTTCCCGATGAGGCTGGGCAGAGTCTGCAACCCTGACCTAGAGGGTTGGGATCTTTTGAGCCCTCCGTCTCTGTTTGCTGTGCTGACAGAGTTCTGGTAAAGCTGGGGTCATGTCTTCATGACCCCTGTGATTGTCAGATGTGGCTTTCCGGCTGCCAGCAGCCAACGCAGCAGGCTTCTGTCCTCCTGAGATTGTGTGAAGATTCCTTCCTGTCAGGTCTGGGCAAGACACCCCTGAGCTTCCTGTCACCTCCAAATACCCAGTTCTTCTATGTACAACTGAGTTTAAAGGCTGAAGGTAAGATGGGTAAGTCACCGGTATGACTCATTGTCTTGCTTTTTCTCACTTAAAAGCCAGTTAGTTTGCCACAATGTGTATATTCTCAGGTTATTAAGCCATGATGTAGAGCAGGCCTTGTGCTTAACTCCCCTCACCAAGTTCTGAGCGGTGCATTTTGCTGACATAGGTTCCTGCCAGGCCACACCCCGACTCCTGGCATCTTTTATGTATTCTCCAAAAATGCTCTACACAGATACGCTATGCCAAGTGATTTTCAACCTAATGGAAATCAATTAAAATGAGGAAACAGGTGTATTTAATGCTTGTTTTCTGCTCTGATATAATTTATAATGCATTCCACTCAGTTACCTGAGAAATATTGCTGGGTGACATCTGAGCCCACTGGAACAAACGTTCATAGACATTCCCATCATAACAGCCGAGTGCAGAATTTAAACACAGATCGGTGAAGTCGAAGGCATCCGTTAACAAGATGGCATCCTTCCTGAGAGAGGAAACCAGAGTCTGTACTTTAGGCTGTCCTCATGAATCTAATTAATCTAGCGCCCAGTCAGAGGCTGCATCATTAGTCCCTTTTCAAATACTACAGCTTTACTTTTATTTTTAATCAGTTATACATACACATTATAAGAAGAGTTCTTTCTGGGTTACTATTTAAAAAACAGCACATCCCAGACTCTTCCGTTTCCTTCTCTCCAGAGGAAGTTTCAATCTTTTAGTGGCTATTTTGGTAGTTACCTGAATGTCTGGAAATACCCTGTTTCTTTTTCTTTCTTTTTTTTGGTACCAGGGATCAGGTCCTTGCACTTTGGAGCCAGGCGTCAGAACCACTGAGCTAAATCTCCGGCCCCAATGTCTTGTTTCTCTTACTGACAACTTTCTGATACTTCAAGAGACACTTTCTATGTAGCCTCTTAGATGTCATCTGTTGAGTCTCTGTGACAGAAAACAAGGGTTTGCTTTTAGAAGCCTTCACTTCTGCCTCTCCTGACCCTATGCCTGCTCCCTCGGCCTGCCTATCTCCTAACCAAAATTGTCATTTGGGCCAGATGAAAAGTTAGTGTTGACGTTATGATGACTGTACACTGTCAAAGCCTTTGATGGGCCGAGGTACTGTCCCTGATGAACCCTACGCCCAGCTCCTGTTTAACAATGTCCCTCTGCCCCCAGCGGCCTCACTTCTCTACTTTGCCAGCCCAGATTCCACACTCCATTCTATTCGCCCCTCAAAAATACACTTAGCAATTCTTGTTGATTTTCCTACCACTTTAGCAAAGCTCAACCCTTGCTATGTCCAATTTCCTACCAACCTTGTGCCCTCACCTTTGCAGTTATGTATGGCTGGAAAAGTCAACCTAAACCCACGTCTCTGGGGTCCAGTGGGTCCAACTGCTGCTTAGCAATCATCTTACCTTGCTTTAGTTCATTTATTCTTTCCTTTTCTTAGGTGATAATTTCACACATTCTCTATCAGCCTCAAGTCTGCATTGTCTCCCTCCCCACCTCTCCTCTCCATTTCTTTGCATGCTTGTCACTGATACGTGGGAGCAACGAGGCAATTTCCATATGTTCCCAGCCCTGCATTTATACAGAGTGCTTGCTTTCTTCTACTAAGGCCAACCGTCCAGGCTCCCGGCTCAGGCCAGTCAGCTCCTATCACTGACAAGCCTTGTCTTGCCCAGTGGGGAATAGTTTCAGAAATTCTCCTGTCTCTCCCTTG